TGTATACACACAAATATGCATATAGCAAGTATATATATATTTATTTATCAGTTATATTTGTATGTGTGTGTGGATAGATATCTCAGGTACATAACTGAGCATTCCACAAGAGAAAATTATGTATATAGGTATTGCCAACTCTGATTGTGTGAGCTGCAGTGTCCTATGATGTCAGCACAGCAGAACTGGAAAATAGGCAGGTAACATTTGGTTAACTAACTAACTTGAAGTATTTGGAAGGAAGAAAACTCTGTGATGTTGAGTACTGAGACTCTAGTGGTGAGAACACATTAGGAGCTAAAGTAGAAATGGCGAGGGAGCCTCATTGTACGGCCCTCTTGTGGGTACTCTGATTCCTTCATCAGTTTATGTGGAACTGCACACTCTACTTAAAATCAGTCAATAATTTACAGAGCTTAAAACATCATCATGGAGGTCGAAGTAATAAAAAATGTATCACAGGATTTAATTGAATGTAGCCACATCATCTAAACTGTGGCTAATTTTGTTATCTATTTGCCTTTTTTTAAAGAACCATATGCAGTATGTATTCCTTCCCCTTAAAAATGGTCCATCTATAGCCTCTCAAAATCTTAAGTATTATGTTTGGAAAACTCTGATTTCTGGGTTAATGTCACTGACAAAAGTTAGGCGTTAACCTTACATGTCATCATGGGTTGGAATCATGGTGGACCTGTAGAACATCAGAGCTGGAGAGAGCCTAGCTCTTCATTTCACAGGCCAGGGAAGTGAGACCTAGGAGGACTAGTTCACTTGCCCAAATAGCCCAGCTAGATTAGAACAGAACTGGAAGGAAAAACCATAGTCTTCTGACCCCTAGTCTAGTATTCTTTTCACCGTACTATGTGTCTAGCATAATCTCCTTGCAATACTATTCAGGCTTACTAAATCACATCACCCTTCATTTATTGTAGTACTAGTTTCTAGAAGACTTAACTCGGTCATAAATGCTACACAGGAGGCAAATGGCTTAGTGTCATTGTTTCGAGAAGCCTAGGACTGCAAAGTGGCTTTGATTCATGTACAATTGTTGAGTCATTACCTTATTATTACACTAATATTTTATTTTTGTGGTTGAAAAAACACTCTTAGAAAACTAAGATATTAAAGCCTTGAAAACTGGTTAGTGGACATGTCTAATTAGTATATTTCGTTAGATTTTTTAAATGCAGAAATGTAGTAGACACATTTTGTATAGTGAATAAATATTTTTAGCTGATGGGCTGTAACAGTTCAAATAGAATCATTTATAGCTTATTGAGTAAACAAAAGTGCCTCCATAAAGATTCACATGACACCTAGCTTTTATTTCAGGTAACTAATTTCTTTTTTAAAGATTGCTTTAATTTGGATTTATATGAGAGACTACCAGAACACCTCAGGAGTTTAAAAAGTAACTTAAATGACCACAGATTTAAAACATAAGATCAGATGGTGAATGTTAACTTTTAATGGTCTCTGATAAGAATTTATTTAATTGTCTTTTATTCTCTGTGTTACATTGAAAGTGTTATGATATATTTCTGAGTATTATTTGTAGCAAGAAAAGTAGTTTATATTTACTTGTTATTTTAACATGCCATTTTCAAATCAAGATTTCACCAGAAATTTTGATGGTTTGTTTTTAAGCTGTTAAGTGACTTATAATCAAATTTTATCCCTTTTCATGAGAAAGATTATTTTATAGCAGTGTATGAAGTACAGTAAATGACTTCAGTGACAGAAAAAAATGTTTTCATTTACACAAAAGTAAGTCTATTTACTTGATGGAGTGCCTACCTTTTGAGGGGTACAAGTCTGAAGGAAACTCTTTTTTTTAGGTTATTTCCTATGTTTAGGACGTAAGGTTGGAAGATAGTATACAAAAAGTGAGACTCTGATTTGAAATACTAGAGAAATACTCAGTACCCCATTTCAGGTTATTTAGTCATAAAATGTTATATTAGATTTAAAAAATACTTTCAGAAAACACAGTGGAAAATAGACATGTGAAAAAGTAAAATGAGAAAAGGCAAAAGAGGGGCCCCTTTGTAGACTGCCAAGATCCACGTAAGATATTAAGGGGAAGTGAGCAGTTCCATAAAGGATGACTTTGCTAATGTGTTAGGTTGATAGAATCATAAGAACAAAAAAGGAAGTACAGAGCATAGATTTAGGTAAATTACATGTTTATGTAACATTGCAAAGCAGGAGTGATTGGTCAGTTTGGCACCGTTACCTGTCTCACGGCTAAAGCATCAGGAAGAAGATACCCTCAGAGAAGAGCTGACCGTCTTGCTCTGATTCTGCACGCCCCTCCCTTTGCACATACAGTTGTCTCAGACCAGAACTTGAAATATAAAGATGTAACAACAAACTTTTGAAGTCTTCCCTGACAATATTCTTTTTTCATAATAAACAATACGATTGCTCTGAGTTTTATTAAGAAGACAGTCACGCCCCACCATCTGCTGCTGTTTCAGTATTCCTCTTACCCCCAGGTCTGAGTTGGTAGATGACATTGTAGTCTTTACAGCAGCAAAATCGATCAAGTAATAACACTACCAATTCAGACAACTGGCTTAAAAAAAAAATCACATAAGGTGGTTCTAGCAGCAGGAAAAGTGCAGGAGTCTACATCTCCAGCCTCCGATGTAATGAGTTGCCCCTTCTCAGGTTCTGAACTAATGTGCTCAGGCCCAGCATTAAGGGTCTGCAAGTAAAACCCCATCAGTGCTGCTAATCAGAGTCAACACATGACCCTGGGAGTTCTTTTCCTTCCATAAGGATAAGCTAATTCCTTTCCTTCATAGAGTCATTCAAGTGGCCATTTTAGGTGTTTTTCTTTTTCTTTTTCTTTTTTTTTAACTTCTAGCATAAAAAGAGATGATTTCCGTCAGCTGTAGGCTTGCAGTGGAGTATCAAGAAATCAAAAGAACAGAGATCAAAGAAAATTGCTGAACTAGGTGTTAGATGCAGTCATTGATTTTTCTTCAGTTGTAGTTTAAAAAAATCCACAAAAATGGTAACGCATACAACAAGTGAATTTCTAATACTCTCCTAAAACCAGAGATAGCTTCCCTCTTGTAGAAATAGTTTTGTATAACATGACATAATAAAGTAGATCCTTAGAGTTAACGCTATTTTGTTGTCAAAACCATAGGAGAATCTACCAAAAAGATGTTTTTCTAAAAACCTCTGCAATGTAAAATGTGGTTTGTAGTGGAGACATTCATGACTAGACTTATTATCTCAGCAACGTTTATTTGCTGGAAATATGGAAAACTCTGACATACAATTGATCACTATTTTCCTGCTACCTATAAACGCCACAAAATAATAGCTATCTGCTTTACTGCTGAGACTTCTTTTAGGTTAACTGTTAGCTCCTGATTACTGATGTTACTTAAGGCTTAAATATATAGCTTCATCAAAATATTAATTCTGTTTTCAAGTACTTCATGAGTGTGTAGATTTCTTAAGTTTGATTTCCATTAGTTTCTGGCTAGTGATAATGTTTTAAAATATGTGACAGATTGTTTTCATGTTGCAATTCCATATTTTGTACATGATTTCCAAATACTTATTATAGAACAGTCTTTATTAAAACATGGTGGTGGCGGTCAGAATGGCCATCATTGAAAGAGTCCACAAATGATAAATGCTGGAGAGGGGGTGGAGAAAAGGCAACCCTCCTACTCTGTTAGTGAGAATGTTATCTGGTGCAGCCAGCCACAATGGAAAATAGTATCGAGTTTCCTTATAAAACTAAAATTAGAGTTACCACATGATCCAACAATCCCCTTCCTGGCATATATCCGAAGAAAACTCTAATTCAGAAAGATACTTGCAATGTTCAGAGCAGCACTGTTTAGAGTAGCAAAGACATGGAAGCAACCTAAATGTCCATTGACAGATGACTGGATAAAGAAGATGTGAAACAATGGAATACTAGTACTCGTTGATAAAAAAAGAATGAACTAATGCCATTTGCAGCAACAAGGATGGACCTAGAGATTATCATACCAAGTGAAGTAAGTCAGACAGAGAAAGACGAATCATATGATATCACTTCAGTGTGGAATCTAAAAAGTGATACAAATGAACTTATTTATAAAACAAAAACAAACTCATAGACATAGAAAACCAACTTCTGGTTACCAAAGGGGAAAGGGCAGGGAGGGATAAATTAAGAGTTTGGGATTACCAGATACAAACTACTATACATAAAATAGATAAATAACAAGCTCCTACTGTACAACACAGGGAACTATATTCAGTATCTTGTATTAACCTATAATGAAAAAGAATATGAAAAAGGTTATATATATATAACTGAATCACTTTGCTGTACACCAGAAACTAACACAACATTATAAATTAACTATACTTCAATTTAAAAAAACAAAAGAAATATAGGGTGGTGGCAATATTACTAAAGGTAAAGACAAAAAATTCATCTCACTGGCATATTATATCTCAGTGTACTATTTCCTAGAAGGCAGCAGGATTGACTTATTTTTCTTTGTGCTATGCTGTTCATGCTGATAACTTAAAAACATAAATATCCATAGTTCACTTTCTGAGCAGTCTAATCTGACAGTTACATAGTATATATTATGTAGCATAAGGAAATGAACATAATAAGCATTGGTTTCTGCAATTTGCCAGGGAATGGAAGCAGAGGTAAAAAATGCCTGATTGTATTGACTCTTTGATTCAGTAGCTTTATAAAAGTTTTATACAAAGTTTTAGTGTTCAGTGTTTAGGCAAACTCCTGATGTCCTGACAAGTTTATGACAGAGAACAAATAAGCAGTTCAGTCACAACTTGGGAAATAATTTAATATTTATGTATTATCATATAGATTATTTAAATGGCAATTTCCACCTCATTTCATATTACAGTTATTCTTAGTCCACTTCTCTGTTTATGGTTTTGGACTCTGGTTAAGAGTTTTCAATTCCATATTTATTATTCTTTTCTTTTTTATATCATAGACAGGATCACGAGACCATTCAAATCTCTCCCTTCCTTCAAGACCTGCTCTTCCTGCTGACACAATTGATGTTGGGGATTTTTTGCCATTGAAAGCTGAACTTGATACAACTTACACTTTCTTAAAGGAGACACATATAAATCCTGCGCCCCTGGCATCATCTCAGTCCTCTCCAGGGACTGCATCTGCTATTGCCAAGAGACCAACTCAGATTGGATTATGACTTTATGAAATAAAAAAGATGCAGGAAGAGTTAACAGTACAATTAAAATTGCTTTGAAGGGGGATTTTCTTATCAGTTGAATTCTGTTTCAGCACAAGGGGCAGTGGGTTTTAAAAAAATTGTGTGATATCTTGATGTGTGCAGGTACCTGTGTGTTTCCTTGAATAATGAAATAACCAACTTTTTTCCCCTCTAAGTTTTATTTATTATCACAGTTGCTCATTTTTATGTAACATATTTTTAAATGTTAAAGAATGACACATTTTGGGTAATTTCCTTCAGACTTAAAAAAATCAATAAGCCATTTTAGTCTCTATCTATCAAAGTTGTTTCATACTTGTCTATTTTAAAGCAGGACTGCAATACTTTAATAGGATTGAGAGAGCTATTTGAAATGTATGCCAATGATTCCTGTCATTTCATGGCAGCCCTGCCATGGTTCACTGAGCCCCCTCTTCTCTCTTGTCAGCTCAACTGAAGACAAGCATTTAGTTGCAAACTTTAAGCAGGTTGTGCAAAACAGAAATGATGTGACTGCTTCTCCTCCTGCACAATAATGTCACTCCTGGTCAATGTGAGAAGGTCAGGTTGCTCCTTGTAAAGCTACATGATACCACTTGCCCATTTGAACAAGTTAAGTTAACTGCTGAATCTGGTCCCTGCAGGCATTGAAAACGCATCCTTTTTATCAAGTCTGCATTTGATAAGAAAGTAGAGCAATTGTGCGGAGGAGATTTCTGTGGTGTGTTTAGGCACTTTTTAAGGACAGTTCCCACACCAGTATAGCAGGTAATATATTTAGTATAAGCTGAAAAACTTCAAGGTAATGGCTGTTTTGACCTTCAAAATAGACTCCTTTTTTGTTTTTGTTGTTGGTAGGACCCAAGAGTGACGCCCATCTTTGATGCTGACAGAATTTAAAACAAGGCCATTGCCCTGAATTTTCTGCCTTGTAGCACACAAAAGTAAAATTGTATGTCAGGCCGAGATGTCGGGGAGCTGACAAGATGCCCCAGTGACATTTCAGCTAGAAAGAGCAAGTGTCTTGCAACCAAGTGGTCAAATATCAAATAATAGGTCAAGCAGGAAGGAGCTGAGTTCTAACCACAAAGAGGTTTCTGGTAACTTACTTGACAAGCTTTTGGGAGCTTTGTGGCTTGACAAAGTGATGTTCTGTTGGGTATCGCTAGACAGACTGTTCTTTATCGCCTTCAGAAGATCAGACATTGACATTGATTAAACTCTTTAACCCTTAAAGGTTAAATCTTTGCAGTTTGCATCATGGTAAGTGAGAAACAAAAGAATATTTGTAATATGTATTTGTTTCTGTATTAATCTTTTAACTCCCCAGTGATATTAACTTCTGGTGTGAACTGTACTTTTTGACAAAGAGTTTTGACACAAAATTCGTATTTTATATGATTTTTCATTATGGAGTTCTTCATTATGGATACGTTGGAAAATAATAGTATGTATTATGGAATCTATATTGTCTTAGTTTTACAGTGGCATTTGATTCAAATATACCCAACTTCTAGGAATTTTTTAATTGATCTTGGTACATAAAATTGGTATACTAACTCTTAATGTTATTAGCCAAATTAACCAAGTAATTTTACTTCACATAAACAGCTTTCTAAGGATTTATATAAAGCTTATTATATTGGCCTAGTACTATGAGAAACAGCATTCTGCTACACAGTATGACAGTAACAGTGCTATGTTACCTTGGATGGTATAAATCACTTGGTGTTATTTTTATTAACCATTCTGGGTTTTGAGTATTAAAGAATATGCCCTGTGTAATGTAATGTAACATGTATGAAATTCAACTTACAAATTTATTGTAATACAGAAAACGCTATTGATTGTTCTCATATAGATCATAGAATAATTTCTGCACATTTCAAAACAGTCTCTTCTGCCATTCCGTACAATGATTAAGGTATTCTCTATATTGAAATCAAATACAGCTTTTTAGTCCATTGACATCATTGAGCTTCCAATTCTCACACTGTAGAAAAACAGTGTTACCTTATATCACTTACACGTTTGGTTTGTGTGTGTGTTTGTGTAGACTCTGTTTCCAGATTCTACTAATTTAAGGGGGACGGACACCTTTGTAAACGTTGCCTTGGACAGACCTTGGTCTTCTTGCATTAATTTTGCAAACTGTTAATGGGATAACACCAGAAATAAATATATATGTCTCTCCATATATGTGAGTATCTGATTTTACAGATATATTTTATTCAATAAATTCTGATCTATAAATTCAAGAAGGTTATTAAATCAAATCAAAGCATGTCACATTTATAACCAACTGGACGCTGAAGGCCACAGAGACTGAAGGATGGGCCTTCTGAGTGATCGTTAGTATTCACTACCAAATATAGTAATTTTTATACCATATGCTTTTTTCCCAGAAGTCAGACCCAGCAGGAGGAGAAGATTTAATGACGTATCCTATGGAGATCTGAGAAATTCTAGACTGCTTTCGAGCACCTCTGTGACCACTCACTGCATATTTGAGATCTGTGTTGTGTTGGCAAGGACGGTTGCTCTATCAGCTTCTTTACTTCCTTGAGAGTGATGTATGAAGTAGACTTTTCTCAGGAGAAAGACTTCAAGTATTTTTGGAGGGGAAAGGAAGTTTTACTTTACACCTTAGTGTGTGGATTTTCTTACCTTCCGTGATCTAGAAAAATACCTTTCAAGGGGATTCTGAAAGTTATTGTTTTGATTCCTAAGTCACACTTACTTGTGGAGGCTTTGCGAGCATTTGTAGCATAAACATTTGAGAATGATAAAACACAACTGCAGAGAGGTGTAGGAAATTGGGAGAATTGCCAGGTCAATGATTATTTAATGACATGGGTAAATAACCTTGTAAATAGTAGAATGGTGTTTAATTTACCAAATGTCTGACTCTTATTAAACTTGACAGCACTATTTATTTCACATTTACAGTATGTACTGCTATCATGTACTTAATGAGATCATTACTATTTTCATGTTACTTGATTTACCAGTTATATCTGAATTCATTCTATAGAAAACACTGAACAGTGATAAATTGATCTTAGTATTTTACTGTGCATTTTTTATGGGCAAGTTTTCTAATGTTAAAGTGAAAAGTAACTGGTATTTATTGGGGAACTATTCTATGCCAGCTATTATAGAAAAACTCTAATGTTCTCAAAATAAGTCTGTTAGGTATTTGCATCACATCTTATAGATGAATAACTGAGCATCTAAAATGTTAAGCATTTGACTACCTAAGATCACACAGAACCTAGTAATCAGTAAGCCCAGCGCTGTAACTCCAAAGCCCACATGATTTCCACCTTGCTAGGCCTGACTTCCAGAATTAATAGTTTCTAAAAAGGACAAATTAAAAAAAAATTCCCAACTAGTTAGGAATAATTTTCAGGAGTGTGTTTTGATTTGAAATCTAGATCACTTATGCACTGATTAGATAAAACAAAATGAAACACATCCATTCATCTATATGACTAGTAATGGGAAGAATAGTGATGTTTGTACCTGTCTTTCAGAGGAACCAGCACCCTTTACTATGTTGCCCAGTGTCTCTAGCTTGGGCTGAGAGACTACATGGATAGTCTGACAGACCCTGGGTTGAAAGATATTAGTAGTAAGCCAGCCTGACCAAACTGTAACTTCCCAATGGAAAACAATCACATATGCTGAGTAAAGCTAATCAAGAAAGCATTACTTTATGTAAATCCTAGGATGGAGATGGGATTTTAAAATATATTTTTGGATGAATGTGGTAGACTGAATAATGACCCCAAAGGTATCCCCGTCCTAATCCCTGGAACCTGGAATGTTACCTAATTATGGCAAAAGGGACTTAGCAGATGTGAGTAAATTAAGGACCTTGAGATGGGGAAATTATCCTGGATAATCTAAGTGGGCCCTAAATGCCATCACAAATGTCCTTATAGGAAAGGGAAGCAGAGGCTTACTTGACTACAGAGAGGAAAAGGCGATGTGGCAATGGCAGCAGAGATTCGAGCTATGCACTTTGAAGATAGAGGACAGGGCCAGACGCTGAGGACACAGGTGCTGCTAGAAGCTGAAAAAGGCAGAGAAACAGATTTCTCCTCTCAAAGGTCCAGAAAGGTAAGAGAATAAACTTAAGTTGTTTTAAGCCACAGGTTTGTAGTAGTTTGTTACAGCAGCCATGGGAAACTAATACAACCAGTAAATTTTGAATGTTTTTTTGAAACTTTAATACATTAATCTTTTAATATTTCCTTTCTCTTTTTTTATTGAAGTACAGTCAGAATGTGTTAATTTCTGGTGTACAGCACAACGTCCTAGTCATGCATATACATACATATATTTATTTTCATATTCTTTTTCATTTTAATGTTTTCTAACAGAAAAATCATTTCTTTTAAATTATCCTGATCAATTGCCTTCATAACTTGAAATTCACGTTTTTTAGGTTTCCATTTTATATTCCTGGCTTCTGTATATAATAAACAGCGATGGTCTGATTGGGACATTTAGTCACATTCTGTTGCCATCATTTTGATAATTTTTTAATTCACTTGTGATTTCATTGTGTATTTTAATGTCTACAGTTTTAAAAGGACATTATGCTTTAAATTATTGTTTATCTTAAAGGTCTATTGTTTTTATTTGATTCCCCTTCTATTGGCATATTTTTATTGCTTTCTTACAAAGGAAATTCAAACTTGAAAGAATTTATGTTAATCATAGCTTCGACTAATGATTTGGTAGGTTCCAGTCTTTTTTCGATGGTTGTTTAGCATTCAGTTGTGGTTTTGTTGTAGTCACGAGGATAGGCAATCTTGTGGTCCTACCACTCCACTGTCTCGACCGGAAACCTAGGACTTCAAGTAATGATTTGGAATTTATAAATCATATTTTAAATGTGCCAGGGTATTTACTTTTACTGTTTACCCAGGAGTTCAATATATGGCCCTGGTCACTTATCCATGCTTTTTATTACAATTGAAGTAAAAGAATTTTAATAATTTACCCAAACAATGAAATCTTCAAAAAATTTTATTATGTAATATTTGAATATATTTTATCTTTACCTTGGTGAAATCATATAGTTTTTTTTAAATGGTTTAGTTTAATGAGAGAAATTTTATCTGAAATGATTGTGTTCAATATATGAAACCTAAAATAGTGCAGACTTAAACCTACAGTGTTCAGTATTTCAAGTTCAGCAAAAACAAAACCAGACACAACAAGAACCGACTGTATAGCATGGGGAACTATATTCAATTTCATAACAATATATCATGGAAAAGAATATGAAAAGAAAAAAAATATATATGTATATGTATAACTGAATTGCTTTGCTGTACACCTGAAACTAATATTGTAAATCAACTGCACTTCAATTAAAAAGTAACATTAAAAAAAAGAAAAGAAAAAGAAACCAAAAAGCCTCTGGTTCTGTAAGGAATACATCTAGCCCTCCTGGTTAAGTGAGACATAAATATGTACATTCACAAATTGGTAGAAGAGCTCCATCTTTTCTCTTGAACCTTGGCAATTTTATTATGACTCTTTTCTGGCTGTGGAATATGTGGGTTGTCATACCCAGACATCAGATGTCCTGTCAGTTCACACTGTGGGTGCTAACATATTTTCTCTGAACCACCCCTTGCATAAGCCTTTTTTTGTTTGTTTCAAATAGAATTGATTCCCAAACAGGTCTCCCAAACTGTATCTTCTGTGCAAATTAAATTTCCACTGACATCTCAAGTGGAAAATTTGTTCTTAATCTTTGCAGTAGTGAGACCTAATTGATAGTGCATACTATAAATTGTAAAATATCTGGATACAGTATGGGAAGGAGGTTAATCAAAACAGAGTCTTGCTCTTTCCTCTAAATCAACTTGTGTGTGGGTTTGTTAGATGCTTATGCATGGGTTTTCAAAGTACTGACCTTAATGCTGGTCATGCAGCAGAAGCCCCACAGAGGTTTTGAAAACTACTGGGTTAATGTTATCTGAAGACAGTTTTTCTGTGGTTTAATTGAGTCATGCTTCATTGTCTTTTATTGCATGTTAATGCCAGTGAAATGCTGATTGTTGACAGAGTCCTCCCAGTGAAGCGGCTCCAGAAATGTTGTGCTGCTGTAGGAAACTATGTAAAATAAAAAGTCTTATTTAGATCTGAAGAAGACTCAGCTGACAGGTTAAGAGCTATCAGATATTCATAAATATTCACTAATGACAACACTATAAGGGGAACTACCTGTTCTCCATAGATCCCTTCTGCGTTTTAGGATATTTCTATAAGGGAAAAATCCTACATGCAATCCACAGTGAATGGAATTATATTGAATGCCTAGTAAAAAGCACCATACAAGAAATAAATACAGAATATAGGCTAGAATATCTCATTTTTACCCTTTTTCTTCCAGCAATAAGCAAAATATATTTGTCTTTACTTTTTCTAAGCTCACTTCTGCTCTGAAAGTAAGAAGCTTTCACAGTAAAACTGTGCGTAGAAAGCTCTGGAATTTGAACACTCCCTGCAAATCATTTAGGACCTGAGGTTTAAAGGCAAAGCTTATTCTAGTGACCTTGATGCACAGCTGACTACGGAACTCATTGTGATTACTTGTATGGTTACAGAAGCACCACCTGTGATTACGCTTAAGGTTTCCTCTGGGCTGGGGAGAAATAATTCTAGAATGTACTAAGAAGACTAAAGAGAGATTCCTATGAAGCAGAGTTCACTTTCACAATCAGAATTGAAATTGCACTTTCAGATAATTAATGGTGGTGATGTTCTTACTGAAGTGTGCTTGGGTCCAAGACTCCTTGAAGGGCACAGCAGGGCTGCCAGCAAGCACACCTTCAGAGGGCACCATCTACTGCATCGTCTGAATGACTCGTGCACAACCTGCAGGGCTGTATATAACTGTCTTGACATGTGGATGCCACTATCAGCTTAAAAGTCATTTAATCATCTGTAGGGAGGTAGAATCCTTGTTCTCCATAAGAGAAACTCCTGAGGAAGTCCAACACAGTCTTTCCTGAATTTCAAGTTAATCAGAGTAGAAACCTTGTCTCACTTTATCACTAAATAACTTTTGTAATTGACAGTCACACATTGACTAAGTTTATCTACTTCATAACAATTTAAGTAAGAGTTTTAACACTTAGAGCACATGCTTATGTTTAAAAAAATTACAGCTTTATTGGAATATAATTCACTTATCATACAGTTCATTCCATAGTTTTTAGTATATTCCAAGGATATGCCACCATAACCACTTTTTTTCTAACTACAGAACATTTTCGTTTCCCCAGAGAAAAGCTCTGTACCCAGTGGCAGTCACTCCCTATTCCTTATTACGCCCAGCCCCTGGCAATTGTAATCTACTTCCTGTCTCTATGGATTTACCCATTCTAGACATTTCATGTAAATAGAATCATATATATTGACTTTTTTATTTAGCATGATGTTTTCAAGTTTTATTCATATTGGAGCATGTATTAGTACTTCATTTTTTTAGGTGGAAGAATATTCCATTGTATGGATGTACCACATTTCCATTATCCATTTATCAGTTAATTGACGTTTGCTTTGTTTCTACTTTGGAATTATTATGAAGAATACTGCTCTGAACATTCATATAGAAGATTCATACGGACCTTTGTTTTCATTTTCTTGTGTATATGCCTAGGAGTGGAATGGCTAGGTTATATGGTAACTCCAAGCTTAATCTTTTGAGGGATTTTCAGACTGTCTTCCAAAGTGACTACATCATTCATACCAGCAATGTGTCAGGTTTCCAATTTCTCCACATCTCTGCCAGAATTTGTTATTTTTCATCATTTTGATGATAGACCTCATGGTGGGTGTGAAGTGGTATTTCATTGTGGTCTTGATTTGCATTTTGCTCATGACTAATTGAGCGTGTTGAGCGTCTTTGCATGTGTTTATTTGCCATTTGTGTATCTTCTTTGGAGAAGTGTATTCAATCCTATGCTTGTTTTTTAATTGGTCTATTCAGCTTTTTAGTCTTTTTTTTTATTGAAGTACAATTGACATACAGCACCATAATAATTTCAGGTGTATCCCAGTGATTCAATATTTATATACATTTTGAAATAGCCATCCCGATAAGTCTAGTTATCATCTGTCACTATACAGAGTTATTGCAATATTATTGACTGTATTCTCTGTGCAGTAAATCACATCCCCATTATTTACTTAATTCATAACTGAAAGTTTGTACCTCTTAATGCCCTTCACCTAGTTCATCCCCCAACTCTGCTCCCCTTTGGCAACCACCAGTTTGTTTTCTGTATCTATAAGTCTGTTTTGCTTTGTTTGTTCATTTGTTTTGTTTTTTTTGGTTCCACATATAAGTGAAATCATAAAGTAATTGCCTTTCTATGTCCGGCTTATTTCACTTAACACAATATCCTCTAGGTTCATCTGTGTTGTTGCAAATCGCAAGATTTAATTCTTTGTCATGGCTAAATAATACTCCATTGTTCTGTGTGTCCACATCACATCCTCTATCTGTTCATGCATTGATGAACACTTAGGTTGTTTCCATATACTGACTACTATACATTATTGTGCAATGAACATAGAAGTCCATATATCTTTTTGAGTTAGTGTTTTCATTTTCTTCAGATCAAGACTTAGGGGTGGAATTATTGGATCATGATAGTTGTATTTTTAAGTTTTTGAGGAACCTTCATACTATTTTCTGTAGTGGCTGCATCAACTTACATTCCCGCCAGCAGTGCATGAGGGTTTCCTTTTCTCCACATTCTCGCCAACACTTGTTATTTTTCGTCCTTTTGATATTAACAGATGCACAGATCAATGGGATAAAATCGAGAGCCCAATAAACTCATGCATGTATTGGCAATTACTCTATGACAAAGGAGGCAAGAATATACAATTGAGAAAAGGCTGTCCCTTCAACATGTGATGTTGTGAAAACTGAACCTGCAAAGAAATGAAATTGGACCACTGTCTTACACCATATACAAAAATAAATTCAAAATGGATTAAAGACTTGAATGTAAGAGCTTAAACCGTAAAACTCCTAGAAGAAATCACAGGCAGTTCACATTGGCCATAGCAGTATTTTTTGGACC